TTGGGAAAATTTTAGTCGAAACGTTTAAAATTTTGGTTCTCGTAAGATTTTGTCGCTACTTCTCAGATCTGGGGGGGGAAAATCAGGGAACTCATCCCTAGTAGTGCATAGAATTGACTAAATGGGAATTTTTTGTTTCAAAAATTTGTCTGGCACGTCCTCCACGCCGAGGAACTTCCTCTGAACAATGGTGTGGTTGTCCGTCATCGAAGCATTCACAATGCCCTCGACATCACGGTTAGCGCGCTCGACGCTACTTTGGCTTCGGGAATGTCGGGGCTGGCCTGCAACAATGAGAAGGTCATGACGTACCGCAGGGTACAACTACAACATATACGCAGCATTTATTACCGAGGAACTTACCGTGGACGATTTTGAGGTCCGGCCAGGCCACTTCTAGGGCATTGATAACTTGGTTTGCAAATTCTCGACCGTTGTCGGATTGCAAAACTGACGAAGCACCAAACTCCAGGAAGATCGGCAGCAGCTCTCGTGCGACCGTCACTGACTCCTTGTTCTTCAGAGGCCTCAGGTGCACGAACTTTGTCAGGTGATCTGGCAGGGTCGTGATGAACTTGTATTCACCGCCCGGCGTAGACTGCAGGTCCATCAGATCGACCTGGGCTCTGGAATTCATTTCCTTGAACACCATGGGCTTCACTGTTACGCCCTTCTTCACAAAGGGGAATAGGCCAGTTGCACTGCCACTTTCCTGTCATAGAGCCCCTTGACGAAGGCTGAGACCAAGGCCTCCTGGATATCTCGCTCGTTTTGCGTCACCATGTATTGGCGCCCTACGTGCTCGAGTTCCAAAGCAAAGTCTTGAATGCTCTTCTTTTTGTTGCATGGTCTCAAAATCCCTCTTTCGCTGCCAATATGACGTCGCCTTGCTGTACGTTCTGGCGAGAATGCTGTCTACCTCTGTGAAGGTGACTTGTTTTTGCTGTTGTTGTAGCATGGCAAGGACACTCTTCTTCAGAGCACCCTGCGGTGACGACTTCAAATTGCTGTCGCCACATGGCTCAGCCAGCATTGCTCGCCGTCGTATTCGGGGATTCGTGACGTTGATGCCGTCGGTTCCTCGATTCCAGCGCGAAGATTTTGCGGCGGCTGTAGCTGATGTTGGGTAAGGAGGCGTTCCGTCCATCTTTCCTCCTGCTGAGCCATCCTTTGCTCCTGTAGCTCTAACAACCGAATGAATGGTTGAGCTACGTCGGGCATGGCTTCACTGGTAAAACTAAAGCGTAGTATTACCCTCTAATTTCAAGCATAATCAAATTACGCTTGAAATGAAGCGTAACAGGCTCATCCGTCAAGATTCCCCCTATCTAAATGCATGGGGGAATTTCCAGAGTATGCTTCATTTCAAGCGTAACGTCTTCAAGCGTAACTTTATGCTTGACTCGAGCATAGAGTTACGCTTTGGTTTTACCAGTGTTCCATGGCCTCTGAATTTCCATATTCTCATCAGCCCCTTCCTCTGGTTCCGGGAACCCCAACGGGCGTGCCCTTCGGGCTGGCTGGATGCGTGGACGTCCTACGCCTCGTCCCCGTCCTCTACCTCGGCCCCCGGCCACGGCCACGGGGAACCGCAGGTGGTTGCGGTTCTGGCTCCCCTAAGGCCCCTGGGCCTTGAATGATACGGAGGACATCTTCTGGGCCTAGTCCTTCAAGATCGAGGGCTATGTTTACGTTATGGTCGAGGACTTGCGGCCAATCATTTTCTCGTCGATTTCCCATATTAAATTGTTTCTGTTCTACCACTGAAAACGTAATGGTCGGACACATGGCCTTATGGCGTGACAAAAGGTCACGCCAAAAATTGGCGTGACACGAAATTCACGCCGTTAAACGGCATGACATGTGAGTCACGCCCTCATTTCGCGTGAATGACAATGCATTTTATGAGAAAAGTCATGCCAAAAAGCGGCATGACAAGAAATTCACACCAAAAATTGGCGTGAATTTTTGAGTCACGCCGATATGTGGCGTGACTTTTCTGTCATGCCGTTTTTTGGCATCCCTAACAGAAATCTGTGTCCCCCGACGGTCCTTCCGAAAGTCCTCGCTGTAAGTCCCCCTGAAGTACCTAATCTATGTCCCTCTGAGGTACCAAAGTGTAGCATCTGAGGTACAAGAAATCTGAAGTCCCCCTCGTCCATGAAGCCTCTTTCGTCCCCCTCATGTCCCTCTTGGGGTCCGTTCGTCCCCCCAATGTCCCTCCTGAAGTCCCTTTCAAGTCCCCCGTCTGGCAATTTTAGGGGGCGGTGGTAGGGGGTGGTTAGGGTTAGGGGGTGGGAGGGGTGGGGGTGGTTGGGGGGTGGGGTGGGGGTGTAGCCCTGCAGGGTGCCGCGGCCTGCAGGGGGTGCCTGGTGCCCCGCTCGGGCTACTGGTGTAGAGCACGGTGCTTGTGGGAAGGGTGATTGGTAATGAGATACAATGTATGTTCAAAATTATTTATTGCTCACCCTAACAGAAATGGAAGCAAGTCAAAATAAAATAAAAATTCAAATGAAATAGTATAGTTAGAGAGAAAATCCAGAGAGAGTGTCCTTATTATAGCCGTTCCTTAACTGCAGCCGCCTAACTGAAGTACGCTCCACTTAAAGCTCTTGCAACACCTGCAACAAACAAAAGGAAAGTGTCAGTTAAGTAACAACAACAACAGAAATAAAACACTTGAGAGCAGGAAGGATCAATGCCATGAATAAAAATAATCACTGAATAACAAAGTTATGGAAAAAAATGCTATTTGATCAGCCAAAAGCCAAAAGTTGGTTTGTGGTTCATAACTTCATTTTTTTCTAGATTGTTTGGCATTTCCTCAATGATTAGAATTTCTTCCTTCATATATCAGTGTCAAGAAAGATGATTTGGTGGCATCTGATAGAAAAAATTCTGTGGAACAATTTCACAATTATAAAATTCACTATTTAAAATAAATTCTGTGACAATTTGTAACAATTGTGCTATCAAACAAAAAAAAAATCGAGGCCCAATTTTTGGCAGAGCTGGTTGAACTATAACAGAGCGCAAGGTTCACGATAAGAACTCTAAGTAGACTGAGCTATCAGGTCAGAAGTTTAATTTTACGACACCAAATAATCTTTCTTTACAATCATACATGAAGGAAGAAATTCTAATAATTGAAGGAATGCCAAACAACCTAAGTGGAGTGATGAACCACAAATCACACGTTATCCATATCAGACTTAATTGAATAAAAGGAAGATATGAAAATAATGTTACTTACAGTGGGAGATGATGGGTATTGGATTCCAGTTCCAGTTTGAGGATACTGGACTCCACTTCCAGTGTGAGCATACTGGACTCCACTTCCAGTGTGAGGGTAATGGACTGCACTTCCAGTGTGAGGGTAATGAACTGCACTTCCAGTGTGAGGGTAATGGGCCCCACTTCCAGTGTGAGGGTAATGGGCTCCACTTCCAGTGTGTGGGTAATGACCCCCACTTCCAGTGTGACCAGAGTGCATCATCGGATATGCAGCCCCTTGCTGCATCCCACCTTGGTGTCCATTTGGAGTGTGTCCAGATTGCATCATCGGATATGCAGCCCCTTGCTGCATGGCATCATTCTGGTGTCCATTTGGAGTGTGACCAGATTGCATCATTGGTTGCGCAGCCTCTTGCTGCATGCCATCAACCTAAAAAGATAGACAATAAAAAATATTAATGTCTATGATAAGCAGTAAGCAATTTCAAATGAAAAAGAAACTATGGTCTCACTCACATAAAAGCCAGAACAATTTTGATAAGTAGGATGTTGATTGTATTGATACATTTGTGATTGCTGGAAACAGAAAGAACAATTATCATACCTCAATAAAAAAATTTGTAGTATGGAATAAAGAGATGCTACTTTACATTTAAATTCATTTTTCGCATTTCCTACTCTATCATTTTAAGAGGAACACAAAAACAGAAGGAAGGCAAAAGCAGACTGCCATGAACTTGAATATGTCGCAAACCCAATTGGAATGGACGTACTTTTCTCTGACTGCATTCTACACTGCCAACAGTGTCAAATTTACTGACTTCACAGAAGTGTGGCAGCCTCATTAAAAGAAGGAAAAGAGTAAAATGTACACACCTGCTCAGTATGAGTGACAACCAAACTCTTCTGGAACTTGGCAGGGGAGGCAATCACCGAATGACTCTTTATTGGAGACTTCTCAGTAGTCTTGAGAGGAGACTTCAGCGGCTCAACAACTATCTTATTCTCCTTTTTGGAAGGAGAGCCTTCATCCTTTGAAGTAGAGTCTGAGCCCTTCTTCTTTTTCTTTGCGGGGGAGCATTTCTTGCTACTTGAGGGTTCCTTTAAAAAAGGGGGGGGGGGGAATGGAACATATGATAGCATTTTTCAGTTACTATTTAAGGATTAAGAGGAGAGGAAACAAGACCATACCTTTCTTTTTTGGCCTTAGTGGATGAGCACTTCTTTGTGATAGCTCTAACAAACTGGCTCCAAGTCAAGTCGGGACAGTATTCAGTAACAAAGGCCAAAGTCAAAGAGAGACAACCAAATAAAAGAAAAGATTTTAAATACTTGATGAAATTTTCAATAAAAGAAATTCTTTAATCACTGTTTAGTCAGAACTCACCATATATAGTCGACAAGTCATCAGGCGATGCTGTCAGACTGCCCTTCTTGCGTCCCTTGGCAGTCATTAGCTTTACTTGTTCCTCTCCATAAATCAAGCCAAAGGTCTTCCTAGCAAAATTTGTGCCCGACTTCTGAGATTGAGTATCAAGAACTAACATGTTTCTGACTCCCTTGTCCACCATCAGAGACGCACCTTCAAATGAAATTTTATAATTACTACAATGTTGAAAACCAAATAACTGACATTAGATTTGAACGGACACATACCGTCTTGCTACTCTGAATCACCGGCACTGCATAAACCTGAGTGAAAAACATAACATTCAAACAACAGAAATATTATGTAAGGATGATATTTGAAGTTATGAAACTCACATTCTTGGGAGAGACACAGATGCTTTCTTTGGTTCCAAAGCATTTCAAAAGAAACTGCAGGAAGGACACAGTGTTTGGATTTTCTGTGAGGAAGAAATACAACAATGGAATATTGAAGCTTTCATGAAAATATAAAAAGAATTATCGATTCACATTGGGTACTCACTGAATTCACTCAACTCTCTGTCTTTTGAATTGTCATTGTCATTATCATCAGAGGAACTGTCCATATCTTCATCATCTTTGTCGTCATCTTTTTCATCAATTGACGCAATGTCATCATCAGATAAAAGCTGATCGGTATTCTGTGATGGGAAAAGCCGCCGAACAGATTTGGCAAGTTTGGCATCTTCTTCAGCCTCTGTGGCATTCTGAGCAGCTGTCCTAGCACGTGCAGCTTCTGCTTCTTTCTTCTTGGCCTCCTTTTGAGGAGTGGTGAGTTTAGGCCGCTCACCTAAAAGCCGCTTGGAGGCTGGCGGCCGTCGTCTGGACGCTGTCGTGGTTGGGCGCCGTCCATGGCAGGCGGGGAGGGTGGGGCGGCGGGAGGCGCCGCGCGGCTCTGGGTCACTGGACCAGGCGTCGGGTGTCGCGGCTTCGCAGCCCGGCGTGGCGCGGCGTGGTGCGGCGTGGCGCGGCTGTCTCGGCTCGTGGCGTGGCGCGCGCTGGCACAGGACTGGGGGAGGTGTTGTAGTGGTATGAGATTACGTTGGCAGTACCGCCCAGAAGTTGGGTATGAGAACTATTCGTGTCACTGCCTTGTAACCCTGGTGTCCATACTATGCAACTAACCTATGAATAATAAATCTCTCTCTGGAGTGTTCCCTTTGGTCATTGAGTCTGAGTCTTTGTTCCTGTGATCCCAAATACTCGAGAATAACTATTCTATTCAAGAATAGAACATGCATTTGTGTAACAGTTCCTATGTGTAACGTGTTCGATGTCGATTTCCGACCTCTTGCCCCCTGTAAGTAGGCAACAAAAGTTCGACTTTTTTGAGTTTTTGAATATTAAAAACTTGAGTCCAACGTTCTTTTACATTTCCAGCAACTTTCATTTTATGAAATTTTCTGAGAAACGGAGCGTTACGCGTGTTTAGCCCCTGGAAAGTCCACTGTACAAAAAATGTCCTGCCAATGCCGTTAATTTATAACCAATGTTTGCTGTTATGCAATTCACGGCGTTTGCTGTGAACTAGTTCACGGCGTTCACTGTGATCTCGGTCACAGTGTTCACTGTGATCTGGCCCCAGTAAACGCCGTGAATTGGAGCCTGATTTGCAGTACTTCGATGCTCAGCGGCATCAAACTCACAGTGTTTACTGGGGACCAGATCACAGTGAACACCGCGAACAAGATCACAGTGAATCGCGTGAGCAGATCACAGTAAACGCTGTGAATGGGCCTACAGTGAAAACTGGTAACAAATTAACGGCATTGACAGGACATTTTTTTTTACCGTGTCGGCAACCGGCGTGTCCGTCGACAGGAACTAACGAGGCTTGGTGCGACCCCTTCCGGTGGTCTGATCGAGTCGACCAAGGTGTCAAAAATCTTAAAATTGGACGTAGAACCGGAATCCGAGCGGGCCCAGTGACATTTCGAAACTTCGTGCAAAACGAACCCCTCTAGAGAAGCGCTGTTGGTTCTTACATCTGTTCTTATATTGCCGGTCCAGGGATTCGTCAAAATATCTTATTCGGAAGCGGCTATTGGCCCCCTGGTCTTCACTGAAAAATTGAATGTGTTCTCAGTACACGCACAAGTGCTGTTTATAAGTGCTGAGCACACGGCAAGACCAGAGTCCGGGTTTCCCACGCCCTTACAGACACTGTTTTTACAGTGTACGTACTTTTGTGCTCACTGATTCGGTGTGCGCAATCACATTATCATTGGAACGTCCGTAAAACATGCGTATCAAGTTTAATAGGGGAAGACAAAGGCAAAAACACTGCCCCTTTTAAAGGCGTAAAGCGTTTTGATCCCTGAAACACACAGTTCACGCCCTTCACAGGGGCCTGTACAATTTTCGCTCTTTTTCCTTCACCATAAATTTTTGGTTTGAACTACACATATTCAAAAACACCAACGCAAGTGTTACGCAGCGCTACGCTCTAATAGGGTACTAGTGGATCCCTGAACCGGAAGCACACAGACGCCATGTTGGCGGAAGTAGATCCAAATTTGACATGGGAAAGAGACGTAAGTCAGACGTATCGGCCACACTTGAACATAAACAGTCGTTTAATACTTGTTTGCAGTGCATATGTGTTTCGCGAGCAATATTTTTACAGCTCGGCTATAGTTTTAGATCCGTAGAGAGGTTAGTTTCCGGCCAATTTGGCGTCTGCTGGTCTGCTTGCTTCCGGTTTTAGGATCTACGAAAGTACCCTATTGTCATTTGAAGAAAGTTCACCTTACACGAAAACAAAAAAAGATTCGGTTATGGAATGAAGAAATTTCGGTACGTCCTACGCTTGCGTCGAAGCCACTGTAACATGGCTCAAATTTCATTGCAAGACATTTCGACGGGTCTTACCAGAACAAGGTAGGTGTACGCCAGACAGTGGCTTGACGTAACAAGCTTCGCGATGCTGCGCCAGTTACGCTGGCACGGGAAAAAATGAAATTCGCTGATTCCGCGAGATAAGCGCTGTTTCAGCGAGTTTTGGCCTTCTAGATTTGAGAGGAGTGACAAATTCGCTGTGGAATAGCGAACAAATATTGCTGGGACAGCGAATCCCAAACGCCGGAGCGGGGCAGACAGGGAAAATTTTGTCTCCAAAAGGGGCTACTTTGTTTTCGCTGAAACAGCGAACAATATTTACCCCGATGTAGCAAAAAGCGTTTCGCTGGCTGCTGTATGACGTTGGTATAGCCCAGTGTAGTTATGTAAAAATACCGGTAAGATTCGAAGTTACGTAAAAAAGGGTAAAATACGGTATTTTACCGAAATATACGGTATAATTGAGTGAAGTTAATTTTTATCGTTTTGATCCACTTTGATTTGTACCGCTCCCAAACTAAGGCGGTAAATCGCACTCCGTAACAAAGAGGTTCTAAAGGAAGGTTTAAAGACCATACCTACCCGTTGGGGGAGAACGATTACGTGCCTTAGATTAGACGCAGTGGCTGCCTGAAGTCAGCCCAAGCGACGATTTCTACACATTTTTCACGTTTCTTACGTTCTTACAAACTTTGCTGCAATACCGATCAAGAAGACGAGACACTCATAAACCAATGTTAGAAAAAGCATCTGACAGAAACACACATGATGCAAAGCATGCGATTAGCTGTTGTGTTAGTGACAAGCCACAGTCTATGACAAGGTAGGTGTACGCCAGACCGTGTCTTGTCGTAACAGGCTTCGCGATGCTGCGCCAGTTTCGACAATCCGCGCCTGGCGTTACACCTACCTTAGCCTGCGGCTGCGGCGCTTGCCTGCCTTCGGCAGGCTAGGTTTCTTTTCCAGGCATCCGCATACCAATTTGCGTGATTGAAGGTCAAAACAGCATTTGATTTCGTGCCTAGGGCTGGGCGGCTCCGCCCCCCAGAACCCCCATTGGCCTGACTTTTTAACTTGTCAAGGCTGGGGGGCTAGACCCTGGCCTGTCTTTTTAACTTGTCGGGGCTGGGGGGCTCCGTCCCCCAGACCCCCCTTTCTTCAAGACAGAAGTGATCTGCCTGCAGAAAACTCGATTTTTCGCCGTTTTTTAGGTGTTTTCGGCTATGAAAACCGAACCAGGTGAGCTAGGATAACTGAAATTTCGCGTGTGCCGAGCCCAAGGACATACCCAAAGAGTGTGCAAAATCTCACCGAGATCGGCCGAGCCGTTCAGGAGGAGTAGCGCGGACACACGCACGCACGCAGACAGGAAAAATATTTCAACCCCACCTGAGTAACAGGCTTCGCTATCGCTCAGCCAATTACTCTTCCCACACAAGGCCACTTTTTTCAAAGTTGGTTGTCACAGAACTTCCTAAAGTGTCCAAGTATTGAGCCGATCACAAATTGATCATGTTTACAATTTACAAGGGAGGTTTACGCCAGACCCCGTCTTGTCGTAACAGGCTTCGCGATTTTCTCGCTGCCTGTTCCTCCCAAACCGCGCCTGGCGTAAACCCACCTTGGCCTGCGGCGCTAGCCTGCCTTTGGCAGGCAATGGCTTGTCCATCATCGGTTACTCCTAACTTGATGCATGCTGGGGGGGGTCCGCCCCCCCGACCCCCCCCCCTTAAGACACAAGTGATCTGCCTGCAGAAAAAATCGATTTTTTTGCCGTTTTTTAGGTGTTTTTCGGCTATAAAAACTGAACCAGTTGAGCTAGGATAGTGAAATTTCGCGTGTGCCGAGCCAAGGACATGTCCAAAAAGTGTGCAAAATCTCACCGAGATCGGCCGAGCCGTTCAGGAGGAGTAGTGCGGACCACACACACAGAGACAGACAGACAGGAAAAATTTTTTAACCCCAATGGAGTAACAGGCTTCGCTATCGCTCAGCCAATCATGCTCAAAGTTGAAGCAAAACTTGATTTACTTGAACCACGCATGAATACAAATAAATCGTGTTGCCAGAGTATAAAGATGATCTGATGAATTTTCCGATGGCGTTAAAAAGAACGGTCATTTTTGATTGGCTGAGCGATAGCGAAGCCTGTTACTCAGGTGGGGTTGAAAAATTTTTCCTGTCTGCGTGCGTTCGTGCGTGTGTGTGTGTGTGTGTGTGTCCGCGCTACTCCTCCTGAACGGCTCGGCCGATCTCGGTGAGATTTAGCACACTTTTTGGG